GAAGCTTTGCCATCCTTGCCTCATGATGCACTCTGGTTTCACTTTCTCTAAGATATATCTGTTTGTTCTTTTGTCTGTCCGTAGGATCTTTAGTACTTTTCTCCAATACCACAGTTCAAAGGTGTTAATTCTGTCATCCTTATTCATTGTCCTACTCTCAGATACATAGAAAGTGATTGAAAAGACCATGGTCTGAATCTGACACACCTTAGATATCAATCTACAATCATTTCTCTTCAGTAATTTGGAGAGGTCTGTGACTGTAGACTTCCCTAGTGCAATATGTCTCCTGATTGCCTCACTGCTGGTACCAAGTGTACTAATTGTAGATCCAAGTAAAAGAAGTTGTTGACACTGTCAATCTTTTGTCCATCTATCTTGATGTTGCCTATCAGTTCAGTGATGACAATTTTTGTTTTCTTGACATTTAGATGTAATCCATATTTAAATCTTCAGTGTTAGATCTTCTGCAGCAAGTGCTTCAAGTCCTCTTCACTTTAAGTAAGATAATTTCATGTGTATACTGAAGGTTATTGATGAGTCTTCCTCTAATCCTGATGTTACATTCTTCAGAGACCAGCTTCTTAGTTAATTTGCTCAGCATACAGATTAAATAGGTATAGAAAGAGGATACAACCCTGACACACACTTCTGAATTTTAAACCGTTTAATGTTTCCTTGCTTTGTTCACACAACAGCTTCTTGGTCTAGGTCTAGGTTCTGCATGAGCATAATTAAGTGTTCTGTGATTCCCACGTTTCTCATTGGGAGCCATAAGTTGTTATGATTGCCTACATTCTTCCCAAGCAGGAGCTGGTGGATTTGAATTGTCTGCCTGTGGTATGGCAGTAAGACTTTTCATTCACTTCACTATCAGAGCTCGCTTCCATAAATATTTACAGCCTTGGAAACCTAATAGAAGGTTACCATGTGTCAGAATATCTATTAAATCTGTATAAATCTGAGAAAATAATTCAAGAACTGGACTATATAAAGAAGAATATGGCATCAGAATTAGAGGAAGATTTGTCAACAACCTGGATTATGCAGATAACACAACCTTGCTTGGAGGAACTGAAAAGGACTTAAAACACTTACTGCAGAAAATCAAAGACAACAGTCCTCAATACGGACTACTCCTCAATACCAAGAAGACAAAAATCCTCACCACTAGACCAATAGACAACATCATGATGGAGAAAAAAATTTGTCAGTGACTTTGTTTTACTTGGATCCACAATCAACACTCATGGCAGCATTAGTAAAAAAAAAAAAATCAAAATATTTGTAAATTGGGGAAATCTGCTGTCAAAAACCTCTCTAAACCAACAGACACATGAAGAAATGCTCAGAAACACTGGCAATAAGAGAGATGCAAATCAAAACCACAATGAGATACCATCTTACCACAGGAGCAATGGCAAAGTTTAACAAAACAACAAGTAATAAAAGTTGAAGAGGATGTGGAGAGACAGGAACTCTTATACAATATTGGTGGGATTATAAAATAGTAAAACCACTCTGAAAGGTAGTTCAGCCTTTCCTCAAAAAGCTGAACATAGAAATTCCACATGACCCAGCTATTCCACTACTTAGAATAGATCACAAGAAAAATGAGGACTGAGGCACAAATGGAGACTACACCGATGTTCATAGCAGCATTATTCACCATCGCAAGAACATGGAAACAGACAAAATATCCAGCCACAATCAGATGGATTGAGAAATTATGATACATTCATATCATGGAATACTATGAAGCATGCAGGAGCAATGATTTTGTAAATCACTACCAACTTGGGAGGGACTGGAGAACATTATGCTAAGTGATCTAACTCAGTCCTATAAGGACAAATACTCTATAAGAACTATTGTAGAAATAGATAACTAGTAAAATGTGCATCAGGAACTAAGTGAGGTAGGGTGGGAGTACAGGGATGAGAATGGAAGGGGGCATAATCATAGGGTCACACAATCTGATGGGCAGAGAGAGGGGTGGGTTAAGGAAATGGGAAAGATCTGGTGTGAAAACAATGTATACGAAATTTATAAGTAAACTAGTATAAAATACAAAGTTAAAATGAATTAAAAAAAAATATCTCTCCAAAGGGCTAAAAAACAACTTTGTCAGTACAAAGACTGCAGTGTGTCTGATGGAAGCCATAGGATTTTATTTTATTTTATTTTTAATTTTATTATTTTACTTTATTATTTTATTTTTTGCTTTACTTCCTATCCATCTGAAAGTTGAACAATGAATAAGGAAGCACAAAGAAGAATCAAAGTCTTTGAATTGTGATGTTGGAGAAAAATACTCAATATGTCATGGTTCATCAAAAGAACAAACAAACCTGTTCTGGAGGAAGTACAACCAGTAAGCTCTTTATAGAGGCCAGAAGAGGGAAACTCCATCTTCTGTACTTTGGACATTTTATCAGGAGTAGTCAGTTCTCATAAAAGGACATCATACAGGAAAGGTTCAGAATAAACCTCAATGTGGATTGCCACAGTGACTGTTACAATGACCTTGAGCATGGGGATACTGTGAGTATGGGGTAAGAAAGAACAAGCTTCTGATCTGCTGTTTATTGGATTGCTAGGAATCTTGGTCAACTCGGCACCTACCAGTTATACCGTGAATCTAAACTTTCTTGATGTTGGTGGGCTTTGTTTTCTTTAAAAGTCAGGCAATAAATAAATAGTAGTCTCCCTAGGAAAACCAATATATAGAACAAGAAAGATATGCTGGCACTTTATCCATTAAGATGGAACAGTGTGGAGGAGCATGAATAAATCAACAAAATCACATTACAAGAATTGTTCTTCATCTCTGGCATTTTGAGCCTTATAAAGCTTTGCAGGTACTATAGGTGTCAGATCAGAATATATTAATTTATGTTGCTTGCATTATTAACATAATTAATTAATAAACCTCTGGGAAATTTTAATCATTATTAAGTTCCATGTTTTATCATTAGCGTAAATGAAAAAAAAAATCTTAAAGCAGTAAAGGAAATTCATTCTCACATAATTCAAACTCAGGTGACATCATCTGCTTACACTGCAGACTAAGGATCTAGACCCTAGAAAGGGTCCAGGGTCAGACTACGGCCATCCCCCAAAATCTGTAAAACAGTGTATTTTAGAAGATAACTAGCAAAGGATGTTATGCTTGTTTTGCTGGCTGATGAAGACCTAATTATTCAACCTCTCTCATGAGGACCATCTCTAAGTCAATGACTTTAATCCACTCTGAGTTCTCCTTTCTCATAAAATGGTTTTGTCCTTTGATTGAAGGACACAGTTAAATATTGAATTCAATCACTTAAATATTTATTATGGGCATATCCCAGATGGGGATAGTAGTCACATACTACTGAGTTGAGAATCAAGTTGGATTGAATCATTGCTTGACTGACTTTAAATATGTCAACATCTATCATTTGTAGACTGTGGCAAGATGGAGAAACTATGAACTTCAGGAGCAAGGAAGTGAAGTTTAAGTCATAGTTTAGCAATTTAGATCTTGTGATAGGGCAAGTTATATGATCCCTTTGGAAAGCAAAAGACCTATCTTTCAGGGGAGCTATCGGGATGAAACTAGATACTGTTTAGTGAATTATAGAGTACCTGAAAAATAGAGGAGTTCATGGGTAGTACAGGGAGCTCCAGAAGCTTAGTGGTAAAGCATTGCACTGCCAAAGCAGAGGTACATGGTTTTACTTCACCAAAGGCTCCATGGGAGAAAAGATGGACAATCTTATTGCATGTAATTGACTGCCTCTGAAAACCCACTGAGGGGCCTAGCTATGGTTGGTTCTGACTTGAGAATGGGTTGATGAGCTACTACTAAAAAACCAAAAATAAATAAAAATGAACAAAAAAATCAATCATTGAACACTCTACAAAGTACAGTCCTGGTTTGGCATATGTAAAGTCATCCTAAGTTGCAAATGACTTCACAAAGGAAGTGCCTAGTAAATGGGATAGAACCTAAGTGTGAGGGTGTGTGAATTTGCTTACGCATAGGGAGACAAGCATTATGTTAAATAGGCATTCCTAGGGCTATTGAGGAGTGGCAGATGTAAAGGCAGGTGGATGAGTTCGATGATTTCTCAAGACTCACTTCCACTCTGTTCCTAGGGAGCACTCTGGGAATTTATCAGGAGGCCCAGCTCTCTAAGAAACTGCTAAACAAGTAATTTCTCTTAGTTCCTTTGCCCATAAAGCCAAAGATTAACAGGCATTGAAATCCAATAGAGGAACTACAGTAAAACAACAGCAATGGGAAATACATAGGGAAGACCAACAAAAGAAGAAATAAAGTCCCAGGAAATCAAACACTTTAATAGGCCCATTTTGCAAAGTATAAAACAAAACCAGAACATGACAGGATTTTATTTTCATAAGCATTAAACTTCCTTCCAAACATCTTAATGTAAGAAATAGCCTCGCCCTGAGAACAAAAAGATGACATCAGTTACCAGGAGGCTGCACATTCCTGTTTGTTCCGAATGGAAATCCACTTTGCTGGCCAATGGAAGCAAGAGTGCAAGCTTTGCTTTTTTTCTTGGATGGTGTTACCCCGAAAGGAAGGAATTTCATTCAAGTGATCATTTCAGGTAAAATGTAGTTTTAATCAAGCAGCTTGTGTGTGAGATAAGGGTTTGTTAAAGATTTCTCCCAATCAGCTTTAAAGGCATGGCAAGGTCTTGGTGGGTGGAGTAGCCCTGGCTTCTCTGCCCAGCTTCCCCTGTGCTTAGCATTCTCTTCTCAACTCTGCATCCTACCTTCCACTGAGAATACTATTAATTCAAAGCATGTTCGCCTGCCACTCAACATCATCATTAGCTCTACCGTGGGTTAGAACAGAAAATTTTTGAGGAACTAGAAGAGACCTAAGAGTCAACAGCCTCAGGGAGAGAAGTGGGGAAGGGAAGCCAGGAGGGAGCCAGGGAATAGTTAAAAATTCCTGCTGCACCAAGTGGTTCTTATCTCACCTTGCAGGAACAAACAGAACACCGGTCTTCTTTCAGTGTCCACACCTGCCCATGATGCTTCAGTCCTCCTTCATGAGGACAGTCCCCCGAACAGGAAGGCCCAGAGGAACAGAGGCAGTCAAAGCCCCCTGCCAGGTTGATGCATGCAGAATCATTCCAACAGGTGTGAGTCCTTAAGGCACACTCATCGATGTCTGCAATGAAGAAAAGATTCACAGAGCTTTAGAAACTAGCCAGAGGAACTCAGAAGAGAATAACCATTTGCCGTAAAGATAGCTAACATTGTTGAACCTTATTTTACGCAGGTACTATGTCGAGCTATTCACTTCCATTAGCTCATTGACTCTGCTCGTCTTTGTGGGAAGATTTGACCTTAGGATTATTTTGCAAATAACAAATAACGAGGCTGAGGTTCCTTGAGTTAAGGAACATTTGTTATACAATTAGTAAAGAGTATATCCAGGACTAAGACCCCAAACTGCCTGACACTAACTGTTAAACTCTCCAGTAGCAATTATGTATTTGTTTTAGTATATTCTCGAAAACTACTTCATCTAGAAGCAATAAGTTTTATTAATTTATTAACGATCTGGATATGTCCTGTGGAGATCTAAGTCTTTTAGAACAGGTGTAGATAGAATGAGTAATTATCAAGTAGAAACATGTGGGCAATAATAAGGATACAAATAAAGCAATTAGATAATCACCTTTGGGACTAACCTAAGAAGTTGGCAGTGTAACTCCTTACCACTAGGCCACCAGAGCTGTGCAACACAGGGAGAGTAGGGCAATAGTTTTACTTGTGACTTTGCTTACTCAATGCCTTACCACCCTGTTGACAAATATCATTTTTGCTCACATAAGACAATTTCTCAACTCTACCACAAATAATAGCATGGATGTCAACGAAAGATTAACATACACCATCCTGTTTTCATTGGCAGCCAAGTATTGAAGAAAACATAAATACATCAGCATAGAAGCCAACACCTAAAATTTTAGCCATCTCAATGTCCAAATCTGGTATGAGACTTTTCACAATGAGAAATCTACTACATATTAAAACAGCCACATCCATCACTGAATTGAGATGAAATACAACTTGCAGTAACTTCTATCTATTGGTCAAAGTTCTGAAGGCACTCAAGGAAAGTCTGCTCTTTCACTCAAGAAAAGTCATTTTAAGATGATCTCTTTTTAAAAAGAAAATTCTATTAGTTTATTTACAAAATTCTAAAACATTGTTTTCAAGAAGAAATTATTTCAGTTTCCCTCATCCCCCTACTCATCAAATTGTACAACCCCATGATTAATCTTGCCCTCCCCCTGCACACCCACATTACTCTGCTTCCAGTCTTTACCACTCCTCTTGGATCCTTACACCCATTCCACAATAAGGGTTTTATACAATTTTTATCCTTGTGGGACTGAGTAGTTCACTCAGCATAATGCTCTCTAGTCCCTCCCAATTTAGGTAATAATTTATAAAACCAGTGCTCCTGCGTGCTGCATAGTATTCCATTGTGTGAGTGCACATAATTTCTCAATCCATTCGTTTGTAGTTGGGCATTTGGGCTGTTTACATGTTCTTGCAATGGTGAATAATGCTGTAATCTCCTTGAAAAATGAATTTCGTATCTGGATTAGAATTGCATGTAGATTGCTTTTGGTAGGATTGCCATTTTCATAATATTGAGTCTTCCTATCCATGAACAGGGCACATTTTCCCATTTCTTTAGGTCTTTTATTTATCTTGCAGAAATGCTCTGTAGTTTTCTCTGTGTAGATCTTTTGTATCTCTAGTTAGGTTCACTCCCAAGCATCTCAATTTGTTGTTGGCTATTGTAAATGGTATTGCTTTCTTGATTTCCTTCTCTGAGTTCTCTTTGTTACCACAGAGGAATCCTATTGATTTTTTGGATGTTGATCTTATATCCTGCCACTCTACCAAATTGGCCTATTAACTCTAACAGTTTGTGGGTTTTATTTTTTTTGTGGTTGGTATTTTTTTATTGTTGTTGTTACTGACTCTTTGGGGTTTTAACTATTTAAGAAGCCAAAACAAAGGAAAAAGTAAAGAAGTAAAAGGGTTTAATAGAAGATTTTAAAAAGAGTAGCTCAAAAAGATGAAGAAAGGTATTTAACTGTGTTCACTTTTGGAACAGATGAGGGAAAAAAATTGTTTAAAAGGAATATATAAGTGGGCATTATGTATGTGGCAATAATCCAGAATAAAAAGTGCATTGCAAATTGGACTGAGAAAGGGAAAGAAAAGAGAGAGGAATGAAAAGGTGCAACAATGAATGATTGGACATCCAACTGTAAACTTGAACTGTACAAGGAGCTGGAGTCCAGAAATCAAAGGGAAGAAATTGCTTGACATTTCTCAAGCCGAAAGAACTGAAGAACAAGTTCAAGTTACTGAAGGTTTCTATGGACAAACCTTGTGTGATCCTGGAAGCATAAAAAAAAATATGAAAGGGATATGCAAAGTCACTATACCAAAAAGAAATAGCTGACACAGAGCCATTTCAAAAAATAGCATAGGATCAAAACCCAATAGTAATAAAGAAGGTTAGCTGCACTGAAAGAATTGGCAAAAAAAGAAGGCTCCCGGAATTGATGGAATACCATTGACATATTCCCACAAACAGATGCAGCCCTGGATGTGCTCACCAGTCTGTGCCAAGAAATCTTAAAGACATCTACCTTTCCAATTGACTGGGAGAAATACATATTTATTCCCATCCCCCCCCAAAAGGTGATACAACAGAAAGTGGTAATTATCAAACAATATAATTAATATTACATGTAGGCAAAATCTTACTGAAGATTATTCAAACATGGCTAGAGCAGTACATTTATAGAAACTTCCAGACATTAAAGTGGAATTTAGAAGAGGTCACGGCACCATTGTTAATGTTAGATGGATCTTGACAGAAAGAAGAAAATACAAAAAAGATGCATATATATTTTATTGACAATTCAAAGGCATTTGACTATATAGGTCACAAAAAATTATGGGTAACATTGTGAAAAATTAGTACCCTGGAACACCTAATTGTGTCCATGTGAAATTTATAACAAGAAGCGGTGGTAGAAAGAGAGCAAGGGAGAATGGCATGGTTTAAAATAATAATGATGTGTGTCAGGGATACATCTTTCCTCTAAATCTACGTAATCTGTATGATGAACAAAGCATTTGAGAAGCAGAATCAGAGGAAGACTCAATAACAACCTGTATTATGCAGATGAAACAACCTTGCTTATTGAGAGTGATGAGGACTTGAAGTGCTTGCTGCAGAAGATCAAAGACTACAGCCTTCAATTCGGATTATGTCTCAACGTCAAGAAAACAGGGAACATATTCTATTTCTGAATTTGATCTGAAACAGTTTTGAATCTGGTTCAAAATATAGCAAGTATAACAACCTAGAAAATGGCATCAAAATACAGAGGCAATACTGTGTATGCCTCCTTACCTCCCCAATTCTATATCAAATGATTGGCAATAAGGGTATAGGAAGATCCATGGGAAATTCACTCCAGAAACTGCCTAAAAATGGAATTTCAACAATGGATTCAAAGAGATGTACAATTTAATAATGAAAAAGAATCTAAAATAATTTGTCCATTGGTAACTACTATCCATCCTTAAAATACCTTTTAAAAATATTGAGTTATTCCTCATTTACAAAGTGGCAAAGACATTGTTTTCCGTGAAATTAAGAGATCTGTGTGTAAACACATACACACCTAGGGTGTGCAATAAACACTGTGCCAAACCAAGATTGGCCTCCACAGTTCCAGAATGAAAGGATTTCACAGTTGAATATAGGACCATATTGCCTACAGAGTTCCATGTAATTGCTTTACTTATGACATAAAAATCTAATTCTGCTTCCATGCAATTTAACAGATTTATGGAAAGCCAGATGTTAGCAATTATGGAAGCTGACATTATTCATATTCTTGGTAATACAGACCTGTTTGCTCTGCACAAAGCCAACTTAATCTATTATACATATCCCAAGGCATCCAAAGGGAAGAGAGACCCTATTTACATATTATTGCAACTGTTGTTCTCTCCTGAACAAACACAAAGACATTCACCCATGAGATTTACCAAAATCATCAGACGGGCCTCCGATGACAAAGAGGCAATGAAACAAAAATCAGGCAAAGAATTCTGTACTCAAATCTGTAATCATTAGGCTGCACTTTTGTGGGTTTTTTTATTACTATACATAATGGGTCTCTGTGATTTCCTTTGCTTCTTCTTATATATTCAGTATTTGAATGCTCCATGCTTGGATGAGAATATTTTCAATGAAATTTCACAGCTAAACTTGCATTAGAACTTATTTCTTGGTATTGACATTTCCAAAATGTCTGAAAGCTCTTATTATTGTGCTCAATTTTGGTTTTGTTTTATTTATTTATTTTTAAGTTTGTGCCTGTCTATCTGCTTTCTTTGATTTAAGGTTCTTAGGTTACTTGAGCATGTAAGAAAATATAATTCTGAGATGTTTATATCACCAGTAATCAAACCAATCCCAACAAAGCCCCAAACAATTTTCCTATTGCCCAAGAAAAATGGCTCTGCAGAAGTTTAAATAGCCTCACAGCAGTTCTGGTACCAGCCTCTGAAGCTGTGACTTCTGCAAGTTGATTTCACAGACCAAGGGAGATATTTTTTTCCCAGTAGTTTGGAAGTAGTTAGGTCAAAGGAAAGAACTTTTGATCACTCTCCAGTTCTCTTTCTTGAATAACTTTCACAGCACATATACTCTTATTTTCCAAACTGAATCCAGGTAATGTGGCAGAAAAATAAAATTTAACCTGGGGTTTAAATCCAGCTGTGTGTGTTCTGACTTGGAAATCATTACCAACCATTAGTAGCTCCAAAATGAGAACCTAGCTTGAGGATTTATTAATGATAGACAAGATAGGGCACAGATGCCTCTCCCACAGCCTGAGCAATTCTGAGAGAAAACTAGGCGGGGGTGGGGGGTGAGGGTGGGGGGAAGATGATAGATGGCACATCAACACAATGAGTGGAGAAAACTAATAGAGAAAATAAAAGGCTAACACAATTTGAAGCTGCATAGAAGGCTTCAGGTCTAGAATAAGAGATGTGATGATCATATTCTGTTGTGTGCATGTCAGACTACATTTCAATTACTCAAACTGA